TTTACCTTAAACCTTGACTTTTTTTTTAAGGATGATGGAAATCTTAACTGACTGTATAGGATAACATGAAATTTCCCAAACTCTTAGTGAATAAGCACACATATCTAACTGACTATAAATGTTAAATACATATCTAACTGACTATAAATGTTAAACATAATTCTGATGTTAGAGCCAATCTCTTCTGTCTTGAAAACAGGAGGGGAAAAAAGAGCAAGGCAAACCTGAACGATGGGATTTATTTCATTTGTATGCTTGTTTTATATCATTCACAAATTCTCCTTTCTGTGTCATACTGGTCTGACTGATAAGTTACATCACTATATTTAGGGTATGGTTCTAATTGTAAGGGTTGTCTGTGTTTCTGTTTATAATTGGTTAGATTTTACAGTTGAAGTGGTATTCACTAAATGTAGTTCTTTATTACCCATTACTCTATTTTCTAAGTGATTATTGCACACACGTGCACACACACATGGCTTTTTACAATGGTTCCTTCTTTCCCAATGCTGACTTTTTCATTTCTCATTTCAGCCACTCATGACTGCCCATAATATGTGAAAGGATAAATGAGAAATTTGCTACCTATTAAAAAAAAATTAACATTTTAGGATGGGTACTACTTGAAAACATTTCCCCTTCTGTCAAAAGACATTGATTTTACTTGTCTTGTTTTGCATTACTATCAAATATAAGCCCTTATCTTACACTGGGAGGTAGCTTCCTAGTATTTTAATGACTAGTCATCTAATACCTACTAACAAAGTGTTCTCCAAAAGCATTTCATACGATTAGGTAGGGGGCTAAACAAAATGAACAGTCTGGTCTGTTTGGCAAAAGTTTTCCCAGGCAAAGGAACATTGCAAGTGCAAAGAATCTGAGGTGAGATGCTCACGTAATCCCTGTACAGTGCTGAGTTCACCAGGAGACATGAAAATGAATGGGTCAAAATTCCTCACCCTGGTTGGTATCCTGCATATAGTTTTTTAATTACTGCTTGTGAGTTATTTTATTTTCATATACATCCAAGCACTATATCAAGAAGATCATATTTGATTTCAGTTATTTTTTTCAAATTTGGGAAAGAGAAATTTTTAAAAATTTCCTGGGATACATCAAAACAGTCAAATATGTAGAGAAATAGAATTATAATTTGTGTGACATGTTTGGAAATGATTTGTACTAGGTTTTAGTAGACTAATATGCATTCTTGTGCTGAGAGAAGTAGCTGCAGTAAACAACAACAGAATTGGTGTTTGTCTGTAACTCAAAAGAGATCTGCCAACCGAGAAATGAATTCATCAAGATGTAGTTAGCATGGTGACAGTTCCATGAAGAATTACAGATTTAGAACTATCAGTTGTTGCTATAATATAATGCTAAGCAATTTTTAAAGATAAAGGACATTATACTTCAGAAATAGTGTAGAACTTCAATTTTAATTTCAATTATTAGCAGTGGTATTTAGGTTAATAAAATCTTGATGCAATGCTATATGTTTTCCATGCTTGCAAATTCTTTGACAAAGCCTGCTAGGAATTTCTTTTGCGTTGGCTCAGTACTGTTTGTTTAATGCTTATGAAATTGCAGAATGGATGTAAGTGAGAATGATGACAGTATAAAATAGGCTAAGTCAACACTAATTTTATGTTGAATGTACATGATATCCCATCAGCTACCAAGAATTCAAGTTGACTAGTCGGTTCAATTTTGCATAATGTTACAACATTTTGTGGTAAGGCAAATACATTTGCTTTATGTATTTAGACTTAGTGGAACTATAAGATCTTAGAAACCAGTGTCAGGGGATTTTTCATTAAATCAAGAATGTTTCTACATGAAGACAATGGTTATTTTCACAAAAGACAAAAATAATTAGTTATAGACATACACATTAGACACTTAAAACAAATTAAATTTCAGTAAAATTATTACTCTTGCAAACAATTGAATCCTAAGACTAATCCATATTTTTATTTTCACTTTAATTTCTAAAGACTCCTAAGTCATACTAATTTCCTTTGCTATACCACAGAATTATGATGTCTATAAATACTTGTTCTCTAATTATTTGATGTTTTTCTCCATGCTGAAGGTACTTTTTGGCATTAAGTTTGAGACTTCATAAGAATCAGCCCTATCAATGACCTATTAAGAAACTGAAGAACTAATTACAGCCATTTCTTAAGTGCTATTTATTTGGCATAAAGAAATACCAATGTAAAGAATTGAAATGTAAGAAAGAATGATAGGTTTCTTAACTAATGTTTTCAGACATCCACACAATTTTTCCAATTCAAATTTGTTTTTGACTAGATTTAACATTACCTTTGCACATGTAATTTCAGCTACATATTTATAATGCAGATACTAGCTAGCTGGGTTTATTTTTAGCATGGTAATATAAAGTTCACCTGTTTGATGAAAGTGACAACACATTTACTTATTGAGATATAACTCACTTGGGAAAAGTTGCTTTGAGAACAGTATGAATACAGAATGGCTAAAAAGTGTTCTTGTATTTATCAACATAGCCAAGCATTCATTGCAACAAATTCCACTAATGTAAAATGCAACTATCCAATTGAATAAAGACGGGTTACAGTTAATTTTTTTCTCACTATGGCAGCACTTACATGGTAAATAAAGATGAGGAAATACTCACTTGTAGTTTGTAATAATAAAATTTTACATTAGGAACATTCTAATTTTACATCCTATATGACAGCACTTTCTACGAAGAAAGTTAAAATGCAACTTTAAAGGTGTTTTCTCATCTAAGTTGAGAAATAATTTGGACAGCTTTTGATTAGTGGTTGTAAACGGTCAACACAAGGGAAAAAAAATAAAGTAGGACAAATCGGGTCTTCAAGTTCTCACTTGTAAGTCCCAGTGAAGCCAATGGAAAACTTATGAAAATATCAGAAAGGCACATTTGTCCTAGTTCAAAAGCTCTATTAAATTATTACAAAACATTGTCCTAGATAAGTCTTTGTGGCCCTTGTGACACTGCTTCACCCTGGGTTCACTCAAAGCTTATTCAGAAGTCACAGAAATGAGAGTAGACTATCAAGGGATGCTTGAACTTTTATTGAATTTCAAGGAGACACTGATTCCCTAACACCTAGTCCCTTCCCCAACGCAAGGAAACTCATGGATTCAGGCTAAGCTTTATGGCTTTAAATGTCAGTGCAATGGGAAGTATACGTATATGTAAAATGTATAAAGCTGTTACTTAGGGGAATTTTATCTCTGAACTAAGCCGTATCATTGGTTTATAGATATATTTATCTTCACATCTTTATATCTGGCATTTTCTGAAGTTGTAAATATTGTTATACGTTTTAGTTTATAATACCAAATAAATGCCGCTGTGGTTAAAGTAAAAGGAGGAAGTAAGGTAACCACTAACTTCCTGTGATCTATTATATATTACACTGTCTGTACTTTATCCTGTTACTGATTAAGAAATATATATATTTAGGTACTCTGTGAATGGTGCCAGATTTGGCTTCAGGAACTATAGAAGCAAAATATCACTTCATGGTATTTTGAGAGTCAGATTTCAGAGAAACCTGGTTTTTACAAATATGTGGACTCTGCCAAGCATTTCAGATCTTCAGCTTGCAAGGAAGCTTCGGGGAGACATCTGCTAAGAGATAAGGGAAACATGTGAGATAGTCTCTACTCAAAATTAACCTTTTACCCGGGAGGGAACTTTGGAACATAGACTACAGCCAGATGGATTGCTTTCATATATTTACTTTGTCAGTTACTAGCTCTGTGATCTCAGTTCCTTTTTTAATTCAGGTGAGAATATCTCACATATAAAAGTGAACACAGTAGCACGGCTTTTTGAGTATTTAAGAGTTCATTTATCTTGTAGGCCAACAGGCATTGCTGTTTCAGTTTAACTCTCATTATTATTTTCTATTAAGTACTGCTACTTACATACGTCTTTTAGCCCTGCTTCCTTAGCCCAATGAAAAAAATGTAAGGCATCCAGGATGAGAAAAAGAATGCATCGTTGACATGGAGAGATTCTACAAGATTAAAGCTGAAGGAGCTGTTTCAGTAAAGACTTTCCTGAGTGCCCCTGCCTTGCTGTATCTTGGATAATTTACTTTCACAAAAAAGGAAAGAAAGATTCACGACCTTCATTGGGCTTCTGTGTATCATTTCAGTAGGCAGTTCCCAGGGGCACATGGTCCTTCTCAGCAGAGGATGTCGATGCTTGGGTGCCAGCGAACGTTGGGTGGCAGGGCTGGAGAAGAGGAATAAAACCAGGTGCCTCAGATGCAGCAAGACCTAGCCACTCTGCTCTTACCCAGTGGAACCACGGTTGGAAATATCAAGAAAATTCGTGACTGTTGGCATTAGCCCATGCAAGGAGATTTCGGATATAAAGTGCCATTTAAAGCAAGAAGATGAACTTTCTCTTTAAATGTACACTTGCACCTATTAACTGAGTCTCTGAAAATATCCATGGCACAAACGAAACAAGTTCTGCTTTAAAACTGAACCGAAATGTCTGGCTTATGCATTGAATTAGCCCTAATTCAAGAGCCATTTCAGAAATGTCTTCATATTAATACTGACAAGAAACAAACTCGTGTCGTAAGGAGCGGGATTGCAGTCTTTGGTGTCTGTATAGAGGGAAGGAAACCAGGAACAAAATTCCCAGCGAAAGGCCAAGAGGCGACATGCTTCCTTGGAAACTGCACACTACTCTGCCGGCCCCGCCCCCGAGCCCCGCCCCGTCCTGATCTTGAAGGATCCTCGAACGCTCGCGAGAGCCCTCTTGGTTTCCACGTTTGCCACGTTCCAAAAGACCGCGACCGACTGGAAAGCCGAAAACAGCTCGCGTTCTCGGGCTTTTGCGTCGCGCCAGAAAGGTTCCAGGTCTGCAGGGGGCGGGGGAGAGTTGCAAGGTTCCGCCCACACTTACAGGCCCTTACGATTGGCTTCTATCTGCCATCACTCAGCCTTCGTGGGCGGAGAGAAGGCGGGGCTCGATCGGGAAGGGGCGTGGCTGAGGGCGGCTGACCGACCGCGCGCTCTCGCCTGGGTAGGGAATCACTGGTTCAGCGCACGAGAGGGCCGGTCGCGCGCAGCCCGCACGCTGGTGAAAGTCTTCCGAGGCGCTGCGGGCGCTGGAGAAACACAAGCACTGTCGTGGGAGCCGCGGTCCGCGTGCGCTACAGCCCTCGCTGTCGTCAGCGGTCCCCGCGACCCTCACGGTCCCAGCGCCCTGAACGAGCCCCCCACCCTTCTCCCGCCCGCCGGGCTTTGCGTGCGATGGCCCCACGCAAGAATAACAAGGGTGGCGGTGGTAACAGCAGTAGCAGTGGCTCCGGCAGCGGCGGCCAGGGCTCGGGCACCAGCGGCAGCAGCAGCAGCAGTAGCAGCAGCAGCAGCAGCCCCGGGACCCGGAGAGGTCAGCGGCGCTCAGGGGCGGGGGACCGGGATCGTGGTCCAGCGCCGGCCCTTGGGGGTGGGGCCGGGCGACTCGCGCCGCGGTTCATCTTCCCAGGTCCCGCGGCGCTTCTCCATCCTCGGCGTTGTTTTATGCCGCTCCTGGAGGAGGCCGCGCCTGGCAGGCCTGGCGGGCAGGTTGGAGGGGCAAGGTGAATGGGACTCAGTGGTCTGGGTTGGTTAGTCTGGGGGGGGGGGCGCCCCTACCCTGCTGATCCCTCACCTGCAGGGCGCATCCATGATGGAGGTTATTGATGGGCATTTGGCTTCCAGTAGAATTGAATGTGGGAGTCAAAAAGCAATTTACCTTTGCCTCGCATAATTTTGGGAGTTTAAAAATAAGCCAAGTCAGAGAAAATAAGTTCTTGCCAAACCAGCAGCTTTAAAGAGCAACATAAATAATTTATGGGAAGGGTGTTGGGAAGGAAATTAGGAGTAAATGGAATGTTTTTAGAAATTAGTTAAAATTTTTTGTCTTTAATATAGCGTTCTTAACACGAGTATGGGTGCAGAATACCATAGAATCCTGTGCATTTTTCTCTGTTACTTCCTTTGTCCTTTCTTAAAAATTCTATTAAGTTCACCTTTCTCCTCCATGTACTTACTCAGCAAAGAGAGAAAACAGATGTTTTAAATCTGTTTTGTCTCATATTTCAGTGTTTCTGGGTTTCTTTTATACTTCCTTTCACTCACATTTAGAATATCGAAACTCAGTACACATGTGTATTACATGAGCTATAAACTTTCCTTTTTAAAATATGTTTTCACTAGCTGAGATTATATATATATATATCAACATTTATTCATATGTATCATGAAAATAGATCAAATAACTAGTCATTCTTTAAAGAACTGTTTTCTTTGTAGCATTTAATACTGTCTGAAATTTCTTTGTTTTCGTGCTGTTGTCTTTTTGACCTACTCTCTTATTTATCCCTATTCTCAGCTCCTAGAATGTTCTTGGCCTTTAATAGTGCTCACTAAATATTTGATTAGTGAATGAATTGATGTAAATTGTGAAAGTGGCTCAGTTATAATCATTGCACATATTACAGTCGAAGAACTAATATTTGAGTTGTAAGTGGAACAAGATACAGGTTGAAGTTCAAAGCAAGCAGGTTATTTCACTTTTGACATAAAACTGTGATCCTTTCTTAGTTGCCTTTAAGTGCTAGTTTGTTACTTAAAACAGGCAGAAGAGTAAACTCTCAAAAAGCCCGACTTCACGTTTTAGTTTCTAAAGGAGATGATCCCTGTACCACTTAAGCATCAGTAGAGAAGCTGATGAGCAAATTTCGCGTTTCAATTTTCAATAGTTTTCTGTAGCTATTTACAAGTGAAGCACATCTTTGCTCCATTTTATTCTTTGCAGTTCATGGATAGAGAGAACTGAAGCATCTCAGGAACTTATTTTATATGATCTGTTATTAGTAAGAATTAGTATCAGGAAAATTTCAACGACAGACCCAATTTTAACAGATGATGTATTTAGGAAATATTTTCACATAAATTGAATGTATTCTGACTTTCATATTCAAGCATTTTAGAGCAAATTTGGTCCATATTTGGACAGAGGAATTCTAAAGTACCTAAAAGCACTTAAGCCCTCATGCTTTACAATGATTTCATACATTGATTCCATAATTTTCATGAAGCAGATGTAGTATGTAAAAGAGAATTGGTACAAGAGAAAAATGGTACTGTATCACCAGTAACCCCACATTTGAAGATTAGGTATTGGAGTTTTTCTTGTCTGTTACATAATGAGTATTCTTTTTTGCAGGCATTTTTCTTTTTTCAGTAAATACTGAGACTTTGACTGTTTGCCAGGTAGAAGCCACTGGAGATGGAACCCAAAGATTCTTTTAGTCCTAAACAGTTACACTGCAGTTTGAAAGTGTGACTCTGTTTATATTGTTTTCTTAGAGCAGGTTATACCTGAAAAATAAAGCAACTTTTGTTGGTCTGTTTGGGGAGGAATTGAGATATAGACATTAATGCCAAAACTATCCCCATCTGCAGGAAAAACCACAGAAGCTGAAGAATTTTAGCAATGCTAATATTGTGAGGCCTATTCCTTTCTCTTCTCTAAATCACCTAGAAAGATATTAAAGCCTGTGTAGTTCTTGGAAACCTAGCAAGTTACCTAAGAAACCAATACTGGAACCCAGGTTTCTGGTATTCATTCATTTTACCATCCTAGTAAACTTGTAGTTTCACTAATTTGTAAGATTTTATGGGATTCTTGGAGTTAGAGTTGCTGATCACTTAAGTTTTCTTCTGCTTCTCTCTGTAGTGTATTATACCTAGTTAACAAGAATATGCTCTTGTGTTAGCAACAATTAAATTTCCTTTGACTAAAGTTGTTTGGAACTACATTTGAAAATCTTAGTTTGAGAAGTACATGGGTTCACATTGTTAAGTTCTTGACGTTTGTGTAGTCTGAAATTGATGTTGAGTGCGGTTGCATTAAGCATGACTATTTCTTAAATTTTATAAGAGGCCCTCCCTGGTGGTGCAGTGGGTTAAAGCACAGCACTAAGAAGGCTAAACTACTTCCGTGTGAGTTCGATCCCCACCTGCCCCGGAGGTGATCCCCAGAGGAGATCCACATAGCGGAAGCAGACCTCTCCTGACCCGCCAGCTGCTCCCCTCAGCTGATCTTCCTGTTCTGCCTCCCCTCTCTGTCTCTGCTGAATCCTCTCGCTGCTCCTGCACCTCTGGGCCTGTACCCCAGTTCTGTATGCATAAATAAATAAACCTTAATTTTTCTCTTTATAAGAGTATATAATAGTGGGGAAGTGACCCAATCTTCTGAAGTGTACAATTTAAGGAAAAGGTGATTATCTCATCTTCTGTTTATCTTGGTGGTCCTTTTGCTGAAAAGTGGTAACTGTATGCTGGAACTTTAGAGATTTATAGAACATGTAGGTTTTTAAAGTAAGCATTTGCTTTTCACTTAACTCTTCAACTTAAACTGGTGTTATAAAATGCCTCATTTCCTACAGAACTCATTTTTACCTTCTTCACTTCACTTTTTAATATGTAAAGAAACATGACTAACTTGGACATATTTAGCTTGCACATAAAAATTGGACTTGCATGGTGAATTGGGGCTAGGGGACTGCCTTCAGATTTAGTGATTTGAAGATCTTGAGTAAGAAGGTTCACGATGTCCCTTTGGGCTTATTTCATAGTGTACCTTGAACAGGGATGCTTAGTGCTTTTGCTTTAGTTGTTCCCATTTGTACTTCATTCATTTTTCTCTGTAACTCTTAATATGCTACAGAGGTGCAAATATCTGCTTATTTTGTCTGTTATGCTGCTCCATTACCCTTCACCAGTAGGTGTCACTGTAGAATACTTTTTCCTCCAATTTGAATCTTCAGATTATATAACACCAATTAGTTTTTAAATTTAATTAGTCCTTTATATACATACTCCAAACTAATGATGGGAAATGCCTAAAAATTCTTTTCTACTACTGATTACTTTTCTGAAAAACAGCAGATGTTGAAAACATTTGTCTCTGGCAGCTTTATTAAGCCTATTATATGTAGAATTAAATGCCTTTGTATATGCTATATAAAACTTACAAATTGCCAGGTCCTTGGGTATTTGGTGTTTATTAATCATTTAGAATCATTTTTTCTTTCTGTCGTCACTCTCTTAGACACTTAATAATTAATAAATAAAACACATTGCTGTTCTCTGACTCCCTTGGATAAAGAAGCCTCGCTGACATTCTTTTTAGCCAGAGACTGTCAGGGTCTGTTGCTTAATCACCATTAGTCATTCTAGGATAAAAGGATAGCATAGCCATGTTACTTCCACAATTACAACTGTTCTAAGATGATCCTGAACACATTTTTAAGAGCCCAAATATGCTAACCTCATTTAAGCTTAGGAAGTGGAAGACCTGTATTTTAGTCTTACTTTAAGATCATTTCTCAGACTGCTGGAAGATGAAAAGTTTTCATTTTCAGCTAATTACCAACAGAGTAACTTAGAAAAAGACTCCTTTGGGCACTCCACCCTATTTTTAGTTAGTATCGGAAGTTTGACCCTGAGCTCTGTGGTCCCAAAAGACTAAAAACTTTTTTTTTCCCCTCCAGAAAGCCAGTGTGGTTTGAAAGAGTCGGATGACCTGGATTCACATCCATTTAGGACTTGTGGTACAAGTCACTCAAAATCTGTAAATCCGGATGTCCTCAAATGGGAACTCTTATTTTCTCTGTTCCTTTCATAATTGTGATAGGTAAAAACTGATTTTATTTGGTGTTGTGATTCTCTGATGTTTTCATGGATATACTACTAATATAATATAATATAGTATATAATATAATATAAAACATAACATAATATAACATAACATAATACAATACAATACAATACAATACAATACAATACAATACAATACAATACAATACAATACAATACAATATAATATAATATATAAGGGTGCAGAGCTAAGCAGACCATAGTATGTTTGACCTTTCTTGATGTTTTATCAAGGAAAATCGTTTTCTGATGTAATCTGACGCATTTGTATTTTCAATAAAATGGCTGTTGTAGAGGTGGTGTTTATCCGGGGGCATAAGTATGCCCATCACTTTCAAGTTGCTAATTTATCCTTTAATTCCTCAGAGGTCTGTACTTTATTTTACTACAGTGTAGGTAAATTTTAACGTTTTGATATATCCCAATGCACAGTTTTAATATTGTGAAGTTATGCAACTTAATTTGTGCCTTGGGTACTTCTGCATCTCCCATGTGGTTTCATTTTACTCCTTAGGAAGATACACATTTTTTTTTTTAAAGATTTATTTATTTGTTCATACAGAACTGGGGTACAGGCCAGAGGCCCAGGGGCGGCGAGAGGCTTCACCAGAGACAGAGTGGGGCGCAGAACAGGCAGATTGATGAAGTACACTGCTGAGGGGAGCAGCGGCGGGTGGGTCA